CTCTTTCTCTCCCCCCCTCCCTCACCACCAGGATGTCGTCCGTGACTGTCCTCCCGATCATGTTCTCCAGCTGGTCTTGTGACATGTTGTCTAGGATCGTCCAGTTGAAGACGAACTTCTGCGTCAGCATGTAGGACCCACCGGTCGCGCCCCTGTCCACCTGAATGAATAACAGGTTTATTTCAATAACTCACTAGAAAAGTAACATTTGCAAAGCAAATGCATAATGTTTACCTTCGCATATGGTCTGCTCTGTTAATTCTTACTCAAGGACATTCATATATATGGTCAGACAGGAGTCTGAATCCCTCCTGCTATAAAATTGCAACATGATGTAACCCAACACCAGTTACCATGTAACTGGCGTGTGGCGTAACGGTAGAGTGCTCGACTCGGAACCAAGAGGTCCCGGGTTCGAGTCCCGACTTGCCACCGATCTTGTGCCCTTGGGAAAGGCACTTTACACTACTTTGAGTCTTGTCCTGTTCTCTATTTGTCCTCTGTGTTGGTGGCGGCATAAAATAAGCTGATATAACTTGAGTGTGCCTTCACCATGTCTAGTCATGAAATGTTGGAATATAAAAAACCTAGCTGACCTCCGTGGTGATGACGAAGTCGTCGATGTTCTCGACGTCCGTCGGGTTGGCCAGACCGTCGGCGAACAGCCCGCCGATCACGCGGTTGTTGCCCGTCTCCGAGTCCTGTATGAATCAATGAACGAATTAAGATGGCCCGCCCCAAGGTGTATATGGTGTGATTAATACCGTGGCCGACAAGGACAAACCTGCGTCGCCTGCGCGCACACCTGCGTCGCCTGCGCGCACACCTGCGTCATCTCTGCAAAGAGCTTCCTCGTCTGCGCACGACTACCTGCGTCGTGTCTGCCAAGAGCTTCCTCACGCCTGCACAGAAAGAGCTTCCTCGTCTGCGCACGAATACCTGCGTCGTGCCTGCCAAGAGCTTCCTCACGCCTGCACAGAAAGAGATTCCTCGGCGACCTCGCTGCGCGCAACGAAAGCTCGCTGCACGGAAGAATACGTGTCACCCCTGCCTTGTTGAAGAATGGACGGTCCCCTAT